TTCGACTATTCAATACATTGAAGAATTGAACTTCAGCTATTCAATACGTTGAATAATTGAACTTCAACTATTCAATAAATGAACTTCGACTATTCAATACATTGAATAATTGAACCTCAGCTGTTCAATACATTGAATAATTGAACTTCAACTATGCTACAAGTAATGTTGATCAACACTGAGTGTTGATTCACTGGGCCCGAGACTGACGGAATGATGGCAGAGATGTGTTTATATTTTTTAATAAAAATGAATGCTGTACAATGGTGAGTTTAGGACAAACTATTAACATTTGTAACATGTTCGATATTACATATTATAGATATATTTAAACAATTGGCATAAAACATTGAAAGATGCTAATATATGTGATAATGCATACGTCTTAGTTGATTATAACAAAGAAAAATAGTGACTCAAAACCTCGTCTGTCACGGTCTGTGATGGATCCAAAGCCCGTCTGTCACGGTCTGTGATGGATCCAAAGCCCGTCTGTCACGGTCTGTGATGGATCCAAAGCCCGTCTGTCACGGTCTGTGAGGGGGGGGGGGGTCCAAATTTCTACCCCTAAACACTTCAACACTCCTTTCAGATTGTGTTTCACAAAAATATATTCTTCAGCATCACTAATGGACACATCCATTTGAGCAGTTACACAAGAAGTCTATACCCTAGTGAACGTACTGAGTTAAGGGTACCCGAAAAAGTACTCTGCTACTAGTATGTTGCAGGATCTGTTGGGTACTAAAGTACCTTATTGGGTACCTTGCTACAAAATTTATAGTAACTGGATACTTGAAGATACTGATCAGGTACTCATTTGGGTACTATTGTACAGCATTTCTAGGTACCCTGTTGCCAAAATTTCAGTATGTTCAGGATCGAACCTGACCTTTGACTTCTTTCATTTTTCTTTCTCCGATAGCGATTTATTACGTTTTTTTCGATTTTATTTGATTTAATTTTTTCAATTCCGAAAACTCAGCAGATCAAATGCCGGGATCTGACTGGACTTGTGTTGATTGGATCTCCATCAGACCACTTCAGGGTAGTTCTCTCTCAATTTAAGATCGAGATCGGCATGTTCTCGACTAGTAAATAGTCAAGATATGATCTAAAAAAATTAGTATGAAAAAATATTAATTTCTTA